GTGAAAAATGTTTAAATTCTAACAAAATTTGTCTAAGAAAAACTACAATAATATGCACTCCTATTTAACAGAGAAACTCAACAGGCCTGCTAATTCCTTCCTATAATAAGAGAAAATAAAGGTAGGCAACAGCACCTTCTCCTCTACAGAACTCAGGCCACCCTCCACCTCACCTTCACTCAGAAGAGGATCAGTCACATGAGGAGCACGCCTTCTTAGACCTCTAGGCCTTTGACTTAGAACCTGTCCCTTAAGGTTGACTCATATCAACATTACCATGAAATACCTGATTCTGTTCTTCACTGGATCACATTCAACTCTACTCGATGAAAAGAGCAACCATCTAAGGCAGATTTCTAAGATGGCCATACTTCTTTCCCAAGTTAGCCTGAATGGGACACACCTGATAACCATCACCCAGCAAATCCTCATTCCAATCCTCTGACTCACCAGGACTGTAACCGTATAGCTAATAGGCAAGCATTCCTTAGAACACATAAAAGAACTCTACATATTTCATCCTCTAACACCATGGGGGGGGGGGTGTGTGTGCAAGTTTAATGTTTAGCAACTAAACTGGCAATAAAGTCACCAACAACTCATGATAATGAGTAACATTCACTTACACAGATTCAAGGAACATTCATTGATCATTCATAATACATCAAAAAATCTAAGAATATTACTTGGGTTTAAAATGTCTAAAAATAGCCAAGGATAGAGAGGTGAGATACACACCTGTAATTCTAACACTCGGGAGGCAGAGGCAGGCCTACACAGAGAAACCCTGTCTCAAAAAACCTCCCCAACCACCAAAATTAAAAAAAAAAAAAAAAAAAAAAAAGTTGTCAGACGGTGGTGGCACACACCCTTAATCCCAGCACTCGGGTGGCAGATCCAGGAGGATCTCTGTGAGTTCGAGGTCAGCCTGGTCTACAGAGCAAGAGCCACAACAGGCACCAAAACTACACAGAGAAACCCTGTCTGGAAAAACAAAAACAAAAAGGTCTAGAAATAAATGACAAAATTCTCTGCCACAAACTAAATGTCATTTGTAAAAAAATGTACAGTAATTCTGGAATGAAATAAAACTGCATACAGAACAATAGAGAGGAAACTGATCATGGAAGAATTTTCAGTGATCTCTCTCAAACCTGGCCTCACTCTATTTCTTTATTTAAAGAATGAGATAATTTCATTTCTATAATCTGTAATTCTGATATAAAATATCAATGTGGAACTCAAAAAATCTGAAGCAATTATTTGTAAGAACTTATACTGGGGCTTGGAATGGGCTCTGCAAGCATGAAGTCATATTTGAATCCCAGGATCCACTTTAAAAGTCTGGCATAGTTTTTTGTACCTGTAACCCCAGCACTGGGAGCAGAATCAAGAAGATACTATAAACTCACTAGCCAGACAACTGAGGGAGTTTCTGGGTCATTGGAAGGCCCTGACTCAAGGTAATATATAATATCCACAGAAAAAGACACCCAATATTCTGTTCTGGTCTCTGTACTTTGCACACAGGAGGGTACACACATTCAAGTGTATGTGTACCAAAATCACATACCTACACAACCCACATACCAAATTTAACACACACTTTTCATTAATTAATATACTCAAAGTTAATACAAAGTGTCAGAAGGTTGTTGGGTAATCTAATCCTTAAATCTTCCTGTTTAGTTGCCAGTTAACAGACTAGCTGCTAATCCTTGTCAGGGTTGCCTTCATCTGAGGTAGGCCTGGCACAGCAGCTCAGGCTCCTTGATTAAGGATGTTTTAGGGATAGGTATTTTCACAAAATAAGGCTATCACCATTTTTAGAATTTTTGTCACCTCTATTTAGGAAGCCATCAGGAAAATATCCTTCTTATCCTTCCTTTGCTTCAACAGTTGGCAGGTGAGGTGAGAACCATCTCCCTCATTTTATAGAGGACAGAGTCTCAGAAGCAGAAGGAACCCTAGTGGTGTGAGCTCTAGCCTTGTCCTCTTTCAAGAAGGATAATCTAGCACGTTCTGCTGATGCACAGAAGAGGGAGGAAGGACAGCAAAGAGTAGGAAGTTTGCCTGACAAAAGGCCATTGGCCTTGAATGAATCACGAAGATTCTATAGTAGAAGAATAATAAGCCTCATTATAAGAATGCAACTTTTTACTTTTTCTTTGAGGTGTAGAGCTCAAATCCAGGGCCTTGGCATATGCTTGACAACCACTCTCCTCTGATCTGCACCCTCAGCCCTGAGTGCTACAATTTTAAATGCTTAATAACTTCCAGGAGCCATCACAGGAACACCAGAGTTCTCACATCTAGGACTGATGTTTATGCATCATTTCCATACAAAAAGCTCCTGATCAGATCCCTAAAATCTAATGAGTTTGTTTCCTTACAAGAAAAATACTGTGTTCATTTGCTGATAGTTTGCCCACAGTATTACAGGCTTCAAATACCACACTTCATGCTTACCTCACTCTGCGCTTTCAGAAGCTAACTCCTAAAATCCCACCTTATCACAAGCCCCAGTTTCACTGCATTTTAGTTATTTATTCAACAAACACCCGTGAGCATCATGCACCTGGGCTCTAAAGACACAACTCTGGCAGAAGATGGGATACTGTAAGCTATGGTTGGTCAACAAACAGAAGAATCTGGCTTAGAGAATTAAGTCCAATTGAAGTTTCAAGTCTGATTTATTAAGTTACATCTTGAGCATAGCAGGTTGCCAGGGTGGGTCTACAACTGTATCCAGAAGCATCACGCTCTCCAAAATGCTCCTGGGTAAAAGTGGGTAGAACTGTGCAGCATGCATCCAACACTGAACCACACACTAACAGAACTGTTCTCAAGAATACAGGAAAATCTAGATAGTCTAAGCTTAGATGGGCAGGAGGCAAAGGCCTTAGAAAGGACTCCGGAGTCCTTCAGTCACAAAGAAGTCTCCTGGGTTGTCATAGCACCCCAAGTAATAATTAGCTTCCAGCTGAGGGCATCAGGAGCAGCTCACTCTTATGCAAGGTATGGTGGTGAATGCCTATGATTCAAGCCCTTTGCCAGGCTGTAGCAGGAGGATCACAAGTTGCAGGTTAGCTTGAGCTATATAACAAGATCCTGTTTACAAAAACAAAACACTTCTTCAAAAGAAATCAGATGACTTCATCTCACTGTTACCTCAAGTCCCAAGAGACAAGTAACCAAAGACAAAATTTCTAAGCGCTTTTTAACTTTTTAACCAGTGACTTTTAAAAAGCTTTTAACTTTCAAATAATCACTGATCAAAAGTTGCAAAGAGATTTACAGAGAAGTCCTAATTAATACCTTTCTAAATTAAATGACTGTACTTCTGTCAATGGGCAGGGCAAAGTCGGTGGGTCTGTTCTTAAGAATACAAGGTTCACTGTCTACCTCCCAGGAACCCAGTGCCTCTGAAGTGTTCAGTTCTCACTGACTTACTTCCTAGTGAGAAAGGCCATAGCCCAGCTGCTACTAAGTCTATTTGCATTCATTCAATACTTTACTGGGCACATACCATGTGACTATTCTAACAAAACAAAACCTTACCTAGAAAAAATGTTAAATACGTTAACACATTAAGCAAGAGTCAAGTGCTGTGTGAAAATTAAGCAAGGAAAGAAGAAAAATGGGAAGTAGAGAGCTGAAATTATAAGTAGTAGAATCTAAGAATGTCTCACAGAACAGGAATAAGTGAATGTTCAAGAAAGAATCTAGGACTGAGCAGTTAAATTTGTTCATAGACTAGCAAGGAGGCTTCTAGGGCAAGGAGAGTGTGAAGCAGGGAGCTTAAACTTTCCAAGGACTGATGGGGCCATCTCTTCCCAAAAGGGTCTGCATTCAGAGCTCACATGACTCCACACTTGGGGTCCACACAGACAAGGCCAACCTAAGTATGAACACACTGATAAAGGCCAGGCAGTGGTGACACATGCCTTTAGTGCTAGCAGGAGGCAGAGGCAGGCAGATCTCTGTGAGTTCAAGGCCAGCTTGGTCTACAGAGTGAGTTCCAGGACAGCCAAGGCTACACAGAGAAACCCTGTCTCAAAAAACGAGAAACATACAAACAAACAAACAAAGAGTAAAGAAAACACTGATACAGGTAAGAGGGTCCTAACATATTAGGTTAGAAACTGTCCAGAAGCACTTAAGTCCTGGCTTTTAATGTCACCCAACAGATCGCTCTTTTCTTTAAAAAAGCAAATAAATGAACAAAATTATCTTACAACCATTAGAGTATTGCCTTTAGGTAACCATGACAATAGACAGGTCAATATAGTCTTCCTGATATCAAATAGTGCTTTGGTTTTTTTAAACAGACAAATCACTAGCAATTCAGTTATGGTGCCTAAAAGGATGATCAGCTGTATGTCCAACAAACGGCGACCCAATTTTCCCTAAGTCCAATCTGAAAACGAAGCTACTTTTGCATTCTTTTTCCGAAGACGCACTTAAAGAATTCGGAGAAATCATCTCCTAAGCACAAGGAAAAACAAGTTTTTAATCCAGCCACATAACACAAGTTGGAGCCTAAACGGATGAGTCCCTAATAACTCTCCCTAACAGCAGTATACAAAAGCGCCTCTTAAAATATCGTTCTGAAGCATATAAAATGTTTATTTACAGGTAAATGCTTTTGGAATTTACAACTATAAGACAATTTTCCGCGCCCCAGGCTGTGAACAAGCCTCGGAGCCTTCACTGCCCGCCTCCCTACACCAGAGTTTCTGCGTCCCGGGTGCCGCGGAGGCGGCCGCGCGTGCGGACCCGGGTTGGCCCGGAAAGCCTCGTCCCCGCGCCTCCCCACCATGCGCAAGGTCGAGCGGGGCCTAGCGGTGCCCAGAGCCCAGCCCGACTGAAGGCCGGCCGCCATTTCCGGCTGTGGGCAGCCTTTACCTCGTTCTGCGGCACCCTCGCCCCGCTCCCCTCCCCTTCAACCGGCTCCCGCGGCTCCACCTAATTTGAGGGCCATCCGGCAGTGAGCTCACCTGTCGGCCCGCCCGCCTGTCCACCGGTTCCGCGGCTCCGCTCTCCGTACCGCGGCGCTGCTGGGCAGCCGGCCGTCCTACAGCTCGGCCTGAGGATCCGGGGCGGCGACAGTGGTAGCAGCGGCAGAGGACGGCGGAAGCAGCACCGGCGACAGCGAGAACGCGCACGCTCACGAACTGGCACTCGCGCCCCCGGAAGGACCAGTGCTCGGCGGGTCAGAGCGGGATGCGCAAGCGCCCAGAGCGCTACACAATGGCTCCGCCCACGGGCGGAGCCAACGCGGCAGTATTGCGCGGAGGCTCGGGAGCTGCGGTAGAATTGGAAGGCGGTGGACTAGTGGACCGAATTCTACCGGAGGATCTATGGGACGAGTTAAAGTGGTGGACGAAACCTGCAGCTACTAAGCCGAACGCCACCGCCGCCAAGCAAGGACAGAGCCTAGGCGTGAGGGCCGAGCCATCACCTCTGGACAAGAGGTGACTCAAATGCCCTGGAAAGCAGACAAGCAACACTCCACTGAGTAAATGCGCCCTTGTCTTGCGGTTGAGTTTGCTCAGTGCTTCACTTAAGCCTCAAAAAATTTACTAATCCTTACCAAAATCTAGAGAGGGAGATGGCGGGGAGAGGGAGACCTTCATCTTCATCTCTAGCCATTGCTGTGGAACGTTTTTGTTCATCTCTGGAGACCACCCAGAAAGAACTTCTTTCCTGCTTGCCTCTCCAATCACTGAAAAACTAACCGCCATTACTTAGCGATCCTCTAGGAATCACCTGCAATCATGTGCTGGGACGGATAAGGACTTTCCTTCCCACTCTCCCGTACAATTCTTGTCCATCTGTTCATTTACTAAGGAGAAACCTGGTCACCCTTGCCTATTACCTCTTGTATTAATTCTACCATTTAACTGGGCGTGGTGGCGCACACCTTTAGTTCCAGCAGTCAAGGGACAGAGGCAGAGGCAGGTGGATCTCTGAGTTTGAGGCCAGCCTGGTCTAGGTCTACAAAGCAAGTTACAGGGCAGCCAGAGCTATTACACAGAGAACCCTGTCTCAAAAAATAAAAAGTAACCCCACCATTTCAAGTGCTACTGTGTTTTTAGGCAGATACCCAGAGCTACCAAAACTGTCTTTGTGGCCAGTGCTCCTACACTTTCACTTTCATCCTTGCCTACTGACCATTTTTTATTATGTTTTTTTTTAGAGTATAATTAAATCATTTCCCCCTTCCCCTCTCCAACCCTCTCATGATACAATACACACACTCTTTCTGTTTCAAATTCATGGCCTTTTTCTTTGTTGTTACATATGTAATTCCGAGATGTATGAATACAACCTTTTCAGTCTGTTGTGTATATATACACAACATACATACTTGGATGTATATGTTTTCAAGGCCGACCATTTGGTATGGGATAGCCAATTGCTGTGCTCTTTCCTCAGGAAGATTGTTTCTCCAGCTCTCAGAATTCCACAGTTGCCTGTATTTCTTTGTTTAGGACTGAGGCCTTGTGGGCTTTTTCCCTTACACATTAGCATGTCTGCTGATGTTGTCCTTGTTCATGTCACAGTTAGGCAGCCATGTTGGTTAGACTTCATGGATCTAGCTTCTCTGACATTTCTAGGAGACACCATCTTAAAGCAAACTTCCTGTTCTTCCAGTTCTTCCACTCTTTCCTTCCCCTCTTCCACAATGATCCCTGAACCTTAAGTGCAGGAGTTGTGTTGTAGATATATCAGTTGGGACTGGACTCTACAACTCTGCATTTTGATCAGTTGCGGGTTTTCTGTAATGACCTCCATCTGTTGGAAAGAGGTTTCCTTGATGAAGGGTGAAAACTACACATATCTGTGGGTATAAGGATAAATATTTAGGATGTAATTAGGGATTATGCTGGTTTAGTAAAGTGATCCATGACTTCACTAGCCCCAGATAGTTGGCTAGGTTTCCAGTATCAGGCATGATTTCCCTCTTGCTGAGCAGGCCTTAAGTCCAACTAGAAACCTGTCAGTTATGACCAAGGTATGGGTGCAACTAATATGACCATAAATCAGCTGTCAAAAATAAAGCAAATATCACTCAAGGCCTCCCATAATGCACTTAGTAAAATCCAACCTTTTCCAGCAGAGTCTGTTCACCTCATCCAATTAGATGTCTTCTCCTTTCATCTTACACCTTTCTGCACTCTGGCTGAATTTGAATTGACACATGTTCCAGGCTCAGACTGTCAGCAGCAGATAGCTCAGGAAACTCAGTAAATTGCACAACATCAATCAAGTAACAAAAAGGGCTTATGAAAATCAATAGCAGAAAGACCATTTATCTATTGACTCAAAAGAAGGAAAGGCTGGGTGGTGGCGGCGGCGGCAGTGGCGCACGCCTTTAATCCCAGCACTGGGGAGGCAGAGCCAGGTGGATCTTCATGAGTTCGAGGCCGGCCTGGGCTACAGAGTGAGTTCCAGAAAAGGCTCCAAAGCTACACAGAGAAACACTGTCTCAAAAAAAAAGGAGAGAGAGAGAAGGAAAGCCGGGTACAATAACACATGCCTGTCATCCTAGTAGCGACAGAAGGCTCTTGAATTTGAGGTAGGGGTGATATAATGATCATTTGAGAGGGAAAACATGAGTGAAAAGATTCCACAATTGGAAAAAATAGCAAAATGGACCTGGAACCAACTGAAGACTGAAGCTATAAAGCTGTCTACGTTGGGAACTGTAAGAAAATTAGTCAGGCCTTAAGTGAATCCCTCCAGATCCAGGATTTTCTCCTAATATCCCCAAATATGTAAGTTTTATGTACTAAGATGTTTGTAGTAGTGTCATGATAGTGAAAATGGCAAAAAAAAAAAAAAATCCACACCTTTAATTGGGAGATAGCAGCAGGCAGATCTCATCGAATTCAAGGTCAGCCTGGTCTACAAATTGAGTTCTAGGATAGCCAGAGCAACACAGAGAAACTGGTGGTGGGGGGGGGGGATGAGGGGGTGAGAAAAAGAAAGAAAATTTTTATAATAGTGAAAATGGAAAATTGCCACCCAACTGTACAAATAAACACATTCAAATGGAATACAGCCATTAAAGCATATACAAAATAGCCGGGCGGTGGTGGCGAACACCTATAATCCCAGCATTGGGGAGGCAGAGGCAGGCAGATCTCTGTGAGTTCAAGGCCAGCCTGGTCTACAGAGTGCTGTGGGATGGTCTGTATGTCAAATGTGTTGCTGATTAGTCAATAAATAAAACACTGATTGGCCATTGGCTAGGCAGGAAGTATAGGCAGGACAAGGAGGAGAATAAAGCTGGGAAGTGGAAGGCTGAGTCAGAGAGACACTGCCAGCCGCCACGATGACAAACAGCATGTGAAGATGCCGGTAAACCACGAGCCACTTGGCAAGGTATAGATTAATAGAAATAGATTAATTTAAGCTGTAAGAACAGTTAGCAAGAAGCCTGCCACGGCCATACAGTTTGTAACCAATATAAGTCTCTGTTTACTTGGTTGGGTCTGAGCTGCTGTGGGACTGGCAGGTGAGAGAGATTTGTCCTGACTGTGGGCCAGGCAGGAAAACTCTAGCTACAACAGAGTGAGTTCCAGGATAGCCAGGGCTGTTACACCCTGTTTCAAAAAACAAAACAAAAAAAACCCCACAAATGTTCACAATTAAGTTTTTTATTTGTTTTCATTTATTCATTTTTTTTAAGACAGGGTTCTCTGTGCAGCCCTGGCTATTTTGGAACTCTTCATAGACCAGGCTGGCCTCAAACTCACAGCTATCTGTTGTGAAATAGAATATTTGTTTAACTACATAAAGATGTATCACATTTGTGTTTCAGAATAATTAATGATGTAAAGATGTGTTGCATTTGTTTATGCTGCATTTGTTTAACTATGTAAAGATGTGTTGCTGTTTCACCTTGCCTGCCTAAGGAACCTGATTGGTCTAATAAAAAAGCTGAATGGCCAACAGCTAGACACAGAAGGGATAGGTGGGGCTGGCAGGCAGAAAGAAAAGGGGAGCCAGCTAGCGAGGGGGGCTGTTGTAGAATATTATTTTAAGGTGTGTTACTTTTGTTTATGCTCTGGAACATTTGTTTAATGATGCAAAAATGTTACATTTGTTTGATTAAATAAAATTCACCTGTGGTCAGGAAGCTGAGTCAGCAAATAGCTGACAGGAAGTGGCAGGGGCCTTGGGGCAGAACATAGATTAATATAATTGGGTTAATTTAGGTTAAAAAAAAAAAAAGCTGGCTAGAAATAAGTTTAAGAGAAGGCCGAGCATTCCTAATTATTAAGTCTCTGTGTCATGATTTGGGGGCCTGCGGTCCAAGAAGGCCTGCTACAGACATTCACCCGCCTCTGCCTCCCAAGTGCCAGGATTGAAGGTGTGTACACCACTACGCCAAGCTGGTAATCCAACCTTTAAGAGACCATGACAGGAAGATTATCTGACAAATACTGGCAGTAGTTAAGAATTTAAGGGGTTTTTCATATTTGCCTTTGATATTAAGTGCTTTATCTTATCCCTTCTGTGGTGGTATTGTGTTCCCAAAATATTGTGTACCTTAATAAACTTATCTGGGGTCAGAGAACAGAAAAGCCACAAGATACTTAGGCTAGAAAATGTTAGCACATGCCTTTAATCCTAGCATTCCAGAGACAGAAATCCCTCTGGATCTCTGTGAGTTCAAGGCCACATTGGAAACAGCCAGGCATGGTGACTCACGCCTTTAATCCCAGGGAGTGGTGGTAGAAAGCAGAAAGGTTTATAAGGCGTGAGGACTAGAAACTAGAGGCATTTTGGTTGGTTAAGCATTTGGCTGGTTAAGTTTTCAGGCTTTCTAGCAGCAGTTCAGCTGAGAGCCATTCGGGTATGAGAACACAGAGGCTTCCAGTCTGAGGAAACAAGATCAGCTGAGAAGTTGGCCAGGTGAGGTTAGCTGTGGCTTGTTCTGTCTCTCTGCCTTCCAGCATTCACCCCAATAACTGGCCTCAGGTTTGATTTTATTAATAAGAACTTTTAAGATTCATGCTACACCCTTCATTTAAATAAGGCATCCTCAATCTGGCTATTCCCCAGTACAAGCCTCTCAAATGTGCCCTGGCTCTACCCATTCCAGTCCACCATACTCTAAAAGACCTTCATCACACCTCATTTTATTAGAACCAAAGTTGCTCAGA